AGAGTTTTTTAAGGTAAAAAAGAAACAGCATGATGGGATGTGCAGTACCAAATATGTAAAGCACTTTTTTGTTAATTTATGATTTGCTGCATATGAGGAATAAAACAAAAATCCTCTGTCGTACCATATTGAAGTATCATTGTTTTGCATCGTGTTGAATCGCATCGTATTGCCCCGTATCGCCCCGTATCGCATAATGTTGAATCAAATCGTATCGAACTGTATCGCAACAGGGGGGAATCGTATAGCATCGCCTGGTGTTTCAAATGTATCGTTAATGTATCGTATCGTGGCAACGTATCGAGATGCGCATCGCATCGGCCTCAGTGATGGAGATGCACATCCCTAGTGCTTATGCTAACATCATAAGACAAAAGTTGGTTCCGTGTTGTGTGTAGTGAGAACGCGCTAGAGTGAGGGGGGCCCCCAAGCCAAAGCTCGCTTAGGGCCCCCAAAAGTCTAGGGCCGGCCCTGCCTACATATACATATGGAGTTGGCCAGATGTGTTTTAAATTACTGTTCATGGTAATTTGAAAACAAATGCCGTTGTCGGACAGACACAGACACACACAGAGCAGAGCTGAGCAGAACACACATCATGCGCCTTAGTGACCGGACATCTCATTCATAAAACGAGTAATAGGGTGATTCATCGGCAGGGGCGGATCTAGACAAATATTCATGGGGTGGCAAGAGGGTGGCAGGAGATTTTGAGGGGTGGCATCCCCTGACAGAAGTATATGCTGATTTAAATCGCAATCATATCAATCAATTAGGGGTGTAACGGTACACGTACCCGTACTGAAATTATTCGGTACGGGCCCTTCGGTACCGAATGAATATAGCGTTAAACGTAAAAAATTGAGAACATGAACAACTTTCTGGAAGTAATCTATATCATAGAGCGACCAAGTCATTTCATTGGACGAGAGGCATACTATGAGAGCTGGTCACAGGGATGCGTTCAAATGTAGTCAGTAATTTGAGGAACTGTCGAAATGGCGAACGCAGATAAAGTTGAGCTGAAAATCCTCCAGCATCATTGAAGTCTCCGGTTTGGGAACATTTTGATTTCGCAGTTACGTACAAGGATGAAGGACAAAGACAGGTGGACCGAACCAAAGCTGTTTGTCGGCATTGTTCAACTAACATTGGTTACGCGGCTGGCAATACATCACATTCATTTGAAAAGGCATCACCCGAATGTGAATATCACCGGTACCAAAAGAAAAAAGACTGAAGTGCAAACCCAACTCCCGCTAACATGTAAGCCTCCACCACTCGCAGAAAGTTCAGACCGAGCCAAAGCTATTACAAACGCCAAATATCCTTATGTTGCCATGTTAGCAAAGCGCTACCTGGCTGTATCTGCTGCCACTGTCCCTAGAGAGGGTGTTCTCCACAGCAGGAGACATTGTTAGTGCCAGCAGATCTGCCCTTTCAGCAAGCAATGTGGACAAGTTCATCTTTCTTTAAACAACATGAAAATACAATGACAAGCAAGTCCTAATGTCATGCTGGCTGCTTAGGTACAGTACAGTTCAAATACAGATTATTTCAATTCATCGAAATGCTGCACCTTAATGTTTATTTTACTATATTTTGTATTTATTTGAATACATTAGTCACAGTTTAATAATAATTTTAAAAATGTTTTTAATGTTTTGTGATAATTTTTTCTGCTGTACCGAAAACGTACCGAACCGAACCGTGACCTAAAAACCGAGGTACGTACCTAACCGAAATGTTTGTGAACCGTTACATCCCTACAATCAATGTTAACTTGGAAAGCCACAATATTAATATTTTAACTCAATCACATAGGTGATATTATTGTGGCACATCAGTAAAGCCTTACATATAAGGTGGCAGACGTAATTTTATGAATTTTAACTGAACAATAACTGAATGAGTTTGTTTCACTCTTAGACCAGCAGGAGTACCAAATCTATGCAGACTGCTGCAATAAGTACTTTAATTAACTGTCTCATCGATGTTTGTCTGAATGAATATGATACTATTAACAATCATATTATTCCTATCAGCTGTCAATCACTGTTAATAAATAATAATAATAATAATAATAGATTTAATTTGTTAGCGTTTTTACAGGTGCTCAAAGACGCTTTACAGATATAGTGAAGAACTGTTATGATTCACATATTCATTTATTATTGAATAAACTATTTTTTTTGGAGGAGTTAATGATGAATGTTCATCAAGATGCTTGCTCACCCTCCTTCAAATTTGAAAAACAAGTAATTATATCATTATTGATATACAGTTACAACCTTGACTTTACATCAGAAAGAACAAACATTAAAGAAGTGACTAACTGCATCAGTTAGGGTTAAAAAACGTGTATTCAGCTAAAACATCGCTGCAGTTATTATCCAGTGGAAGGTCCTTACCTACTGGCCTAGTTAAATCAAAGTGGTTACTTTCTGTTGGCTGGGCAGTGCAGTTTTACACACCGTCTTATTTGACTTTCTCAGGACTTAAAACTGTTTTTTGGGGGCAGACCCACTCAAAGAAAAAAATATATACACGCATACAAGGTCATCATCTTAACAGTTTGTTATTCTCGTCGAGTCATCCGTGAGCAGAGCATCAAGTTGGCATGTCGATTACAGCTGAATGCGGCGATTACTATTTTGTTCAGCAAAACGCCTCACAAACTTATTAAGATCAACAGCTGTAGTGCGTTTTGATTCAATGCTGAGTACAGCCAAACTTGACATTCTCTTCTCTGTCATTGTAGACCACAACTACCTCATTCCTTCAGTGCTTGGGTCCGAAAGGCTTCTCGTTTTGCGCCGTCCCCCCGTTCACGTGAATTCGCCACCAATCATATTTCCACTCTCGCGCCGGACCGGGGGAGGGGTTACATGACGTGCATCTTGTGCTGCATTCACTTGCACTCGGACATTAGAGACTTTCTCTCATAAATGTCCGATGAGCCAAAACTTTTCTTTCAAAACAAAGATGCCAACTGGGGTGGCAGCTGGGGTGGCAAGGCTATTGTTTAGGGTGGCAGTTGCCACCCCGGTAGATCCGCCCCTGTTCATCGGGCAGTTCGATGTGTGTAGAGCAGTGTTTCTCAAACTTTTTCATACCAAGGACCACTTAACCAATAAAAAAACACTCGCGGACCACCTAACTCCACAAATATCCAAAAACACATCATTTTTTACAAATCGCCTGAAAATGGTACAAACAAGTGGCAACATGTGTGATGAAGGTGTTTATCTGGGCTATATCATGCAATCAAAAGTGAAACTTAAGCTCGCTCCATTGCGGAGATATTCCAGCGAGAGTGCGGAAAACTTAAATAAATGTATTTATTTCAAATGTGAAATGTTACCAATATACTCACGGACCACTAGGGGGCACTCACGGACCACCAGTGGTCCGCGGACCACACTTTGAGAAGCACTGGGAGGTATGTGTGGTTAAAACGAAGCAACCTGCGGTCACTCTTCAGCTGTTCTAATGAAAGTCAACACGGTGAAGGCGTTGTGTAAAAGGCACAGCTCTTTGCGCGCTGGTGCTGCACTTCTCAGAGGCGGAGTTACACGTCCCGCTGCCTCCTGGTGCTGTAGCGATTTCATGAAGTAAATGAGAGTCCGAGTTCAAAATATATCTAAAATAATGTATGCACTGCCATTTCCCAACATAAACACAACAGTCTGCAATTAAACGGTTTTCTCCTGTGCGCTCCACTTCCTACTTGGCGCTCCGGTAACTTTGTCGTGCGAACGAGATACAGTATTTATTTATTTTTCATTGCCCTTTAGGGGCTCCGTACAATACAAAAACAAATGCAAATATTTAATTTTTAAAAGTAAAGTCCTTTCGAGTCATCTGTCTCAAGTCAAGTCTCAAGTCATCAATAGCAAGTACAAGTTAAATTAAGTATTTTATCAATGTTAGTCAAGCAAGTATCAAGTCCAAAAATATGCGACTCGAGTCTGAATCGAGTCAAGTCATGTGACTCGAGTCCCCCACCTCTGCAATTTTTGGCACGGACCAATCCAACCTTAAAAAGCCAAAAGTGCATACTCAGATTGTGAGGCCAATTACATAAATGGTGACATGAAGTGTGCTTTTAAATTACCTAATTGGCCAATATACCCCATCACTGGCCATTACCATTATCCGGAGTTAACGATTGAAGTGAATGACAGCTTTAATAAGGTGCACATTTCTACTCATAAACCCCTTCTAGCTTGGGTAATGGCTTTGTTGGTATCATAGCAACAAGTGGCAAAGTAAGTGAGTGGAGAGCATGTGAGACATGTCCGTATGATAATGATGCCTGTCTTGTACATCTGAATTAAATGGCGACGTGAAGCTTCCCACACAGCTGACATTTAGAACATATGTTGAAATGCTTTGTTATTAGGCCAAGTGATGGAAGTAATTGTGTAAAAAGAAAACCTAGGGCACAACGTCTCTCCCTATCTCCTCAGTCCTTGACATGGATGTGATATCTTGATCATGAGTGCAGATAAAACCAGAGACAGCTTGGTAAATGTCTATCGTCACTCCTTATTGCTTTTTGTATGATTGAAGCTCTCACCGCAGTTATCTTAATGTTCTGAAAAACATTATTGAAGCATGAGTAAATTATCTGCATATTTGATTTTCTACTTTAACTGTGATTTACATGCAACATCTTTGACAAAAAGTGAGATGATTGATTGCAGGATGTTGGATTTATGACCATCTCTGATCCTCCTTGCAGCAGTAGTCCAGAACGTACCAACATGTTTTCTGCATTGCATACAAAGAACTTGAAGTCAAACCCTTTCTTTCACCCTTTTGTTTTTTCCTTACCTCCTCCATCGTGACTGTGATTGGCTGCCATAAACTCAGGAATACTGCCCTCTCCTGATTTGCTGGCAGCAGGAGGAGGCAGGAGCTGTGTGTCAACATAAATACAGAGAGCAGCTTTGACAGTCACTCTTATGCATCTGCTTTCATCATCTCTTAAACAGAACTGTATCCAGCTCCATCACTGACATCAATCCAGTTCTCAGGCAAGGATCCCGAGGAGAAGAGATTATTTCAAGCTGTGTTTTGGAGAAAAGAGACAGAAACTTATCATGTCTTTTGAAGTGAAGGAGAAGGAGAAGACAGAGGTGCGCCTGGTGTTTCTTGGAGCAGCAGGAGTGGGGAAGACAGCCCTGATCCAACGATTCCTCAAAGACACCTTCGAGCCAAAGCACCGGCGCACAGTGGAGGAGCTCCACAGGAAGGAGTACGAGGTGGCGGGTGTCAAAGTCACCATCAACATCATGGACACCAGTGGCAGCTACTCCTTCCCCGCCATGAGGAAGCTCTCCATCCAGAACAGCGACGCCTTCGCCCTGGTGTACGCCGTGGACGACCTAGAATCCCTGGAGGCGGTCAAGACTCTGCGAGAGGAGATCCTGGAGGTCAAAGAGGACAAGTTCACGCCAATTGTGGTGATAGGCAACAAGATAGACCGCCTGGACGAGCGCCAGGTGTCCAGCAAGGACGTGCTGTCCATGCTGGAGCAGGACTGGAACCACAGCTTCATGGAGTCCTCCGCCAAAGACAACGTCAACGTGATGGAGGCTTTCAGAGAGCTGCTCCAGCAGGCCAACCTGCCCAGTAGGTTCAGCCCGGCCCTGTGCCGGAGACGAGAAACCTTCCCCAAGGAGAGCAGCAAACGACCCAAACTGAACAAGACCAACAGCTGCCTCATCACATAAGGATGGGGAGCTGCTCGGTGGGCGACAACGCCAAAAGAGAATGAAAAAACTGCTCACGAGAGACAGAAAGGACTCTGTTGGTGGGGAGCTTGAAAGCATGACATCCAACAGCACTGGAGGCACAGAGATTCTACAATGAGAACGGACATGTCAACAGATATCAGATTAACGACGAATGTGGTTGGCTTTTTCTTTAAAACAAAAAAAATGTGCACTTACTGTGAATGTCAAAAATGATGATGTAATACATTGTGTAGAAGCAGAGTTATGTTCAAATGTGTGAGGTTTTATTTTGAAGTTTTTGTTATTAAAGAAGTGCAATAACTGTGAAGTGATGGGTATTAATGCAAAAATGTGTGTGACATAAGATTGTTTTAAGAAGTGAACAACAAGGAGAACAGTTTATATTTTTGATAGCTGCACATCAGACATGTTGTGAATTATTGTACAGCCTTTTGAAAAACACGCTTAATGATGTTTATCCCTCTTTTTGTTTGACTTAATAAATCCCTTTTTTATTGTTTGACTTGTTTTTGATCATTTGAACAGGAATTGGTTGGAATTTGAACAGTTTGAATACCTCATGTCACAGTGAGGCATCCACTGGATTTATTTGCAGATAAAAAATATCATTTTTCTCTTTCGGGGAACAAAAATATAAAGGTATGACATTAAGTTATCACATCCTAAACTGAATTCAATAAAAGCAAGATAAATCTTGCATGGGCTTACAGAAAGTATTTCCTGCATTTAGAGATATTTTGTTTTTTAACCCAAACCATTTTTTTTATAGCACATTAAAAAACAAAGTGCTAAACAGGCAAATAAATCAGATCAATACATAACAAACAGAAGAAATAAAAAAATATTAAGGATTTTAACGTGATGGAGGCTTTCAGAGAACTGCTCCAGCAGGCAACACCCTCCTTTTAAATGGAGTTCTAGTCTTTATTATTGACTTCATTTGATATTTATTTTTTTAGGTTTTAACTTAATGTTGTCTTTTTTTCGATAGGAATCATTATCTTTCTTCATTGTTTTTGTTAAATCTTTTACCTTGTGTCTTAACCCATTAAAATACTATTTTATCATAACAACATCTTAACATCTGATCTGAGGCATATTGCTTTTTGTTTGCTTTAATTTGTGATGTGTGCCATTTTGAGCTGCACCTGCTATGAAGAGTGCTATATAAATAAAGATTCATTATAACTCAGAAGACAAGATGCGATATCTGAGCTGAAGCTTTACAGCTCTCTGGTATTTAGATAAGCAGACTTTAAAATTCCTCAGAAGACTTGGAGCTCATCCTTCTTCCTCTTAGCTCGTCTACATACACGCGTGAGGAGGTGTGTAGTACCATTGAGCCACAATCAAATGGCATATTAAATGACTGTTACTCCACTACTTGCCTTGTTTTGATACAACTTATTTCCTTTTACTGATAGTGCTTGTTGAACAGGAAATGTAAAAAGAATACAAAATAGCTGCAGCATCACTCCACCAACCTGCCTGTATTCAAAGTGCTTGTTGTTTGTGGTATACGTACCAAAAATCCCTGGAAAAGGGTCTTCATACCGAGTGTATTGATTACATAAAGCACATTTGCATTGGGGTAACACAAACAAAACCAATTCCACGATCTCTGTTCTGTGTTTTATTGCCCTCTGGTGGTCATTGTATACAAAAGAAAGATGAATTATCTTTGTATGGGGAAGCAGGTAATTTTAAATAATGTAAAACAAGAAAATAGCGGAACCAAAAAACCTGAGAGAATGTATCAGCTTCTGATTCTTATGCCTGCTTCAATGCATGATAGAAAGTAAAATAAATAACCCTATAATCCAACAGTTAAATAAGCTACTCAAAATGCACTTGTTTATGTTTCATTTTGTCATATTAGTTGATGTGCAGTTTCTTGAAAATATCCACAATTAAAACAGTATTTGAAACTCTGACTTACAAATATATACGTTATGCCTGCCATGAAATACGAAGGCTGGTTCAATTCATTCTTGATGAACTTTTCGATGTTCTCTCAGAGCCCTTCATAGGTGGTGTTGACAACATCTGATTGTTAAAGGCCAAGAGGGCGCGTAAAAAGGTATGCTTCCTCTTTCCAAAAAACATTCATAGACACGGTGCATTGTTTGCCCAGAATCAGACGAGGAAGTGACATATGATGATAAGATCTCAGGTTCCTCTTTGTATCCCGTTTAAACTCACTGCCAGCTCACAGCAGGAGACAGAAACTCGTCTTGTTCGGCACACAGACGGACGCAGAGGCAGATCGTCCCTTTTAAAGCTCAGGTGGGAACTACACTTTCCATTCAGGTTGTCGTGAACTCAGATATATGGCTCTGTTGTAGATAGGATTTACATGGAAGCATATTTGTATATGATGACAGCTTCAATGTCTACCATAAAGTGCTTTTAGTTTGTCTCTGCTCCTAGACTTGGTCATAGCTCCTCAGTGTTTTAAATATACCTGAAAAGTTTTGAACAAGTATAGGATCTCTGACGTCACGTCATCACATGTAAAGGCCGGTAATTAGAAAATGACTGGTACGAGTTCAACAAGATTTACTGTAGTACTGTACATAACAGTTAAAGGCCTGTTCACCCATACTGTATGTATGTTTTGATGACCTCTATTCTGTTGATTACCATTGTTTATGTAAATCAAATATGTACGGTTAAATGTAAAGTATTTAATTTCACATTTTGTTTTGATCTTATTCTATTCATGTCTGTAGTTTATGTATTTCTGCATTTTACTTTTAATTCCTGTTTAGTATGTTGTATGATAGTTCCTTATTTGGTAGAGACGCAGCAAGAGGAAACGGTTGTATTTTCATACAACTTGGTAAACAAGCTAGACAGAGTTGTGTAGTCTGAATCAGAAGACTGCAAATTCAAGTCAGGGGAAGATTTTATTCGTAAACGACATGAAGTACACCAGTAACGGATAACATTTGAGTCTGCATAGCAACAGCATTTAATATCGACAACCTTCACATCTGTGCCTATACAACACCATTGTGTGCATTAAGGATAAAAAATACCCAGAGAATTCCAGTATTCATAATTACAACAAAACGTAGCAAAAGGCGTTCAGTATGGAAGACATATCAACATGTGAAATGGGAACAAACATTGAACGAATAATTGTGGTTTTTGTCAGTATATTTCCCTGAGCAGAAGGCTTGAACCTCACAGAAATACACACTTTGAAGTTTATTCAGAGGGCAAAAAAGGGGGTGCTTGTTCACAGTTTTTAAATGGGAAAATATCAAAGTATGTTGTACATGTACATCAAGACCACAGTGCTTTTTTCGCCAGTTGAGTAAATACACACATATTTCACATTAATGCTGGCTATTTTTTTGTACATCCTTCCTTTAAAGCAGCCATCAGTTTCCAATTACTTTGGTTCAGTACATAAACAACCTAAGAGCCCACATAGTTCATGTTTTCTTGGTTGTCTTTCTAAAAAGTGATGCACCTTAAGCATGGAGCCACTCAAAGACCACCTTTTGGTACATTCAGGTGCTGGTTCAACACTCAAGCTTAAGACTTCAACATGTTTTGCTGCAATGAGCCATAGTCACGATTTAAGAATCATGGTTTGTAATTCATTGGTGCGTCATGTGGTGATTACACTATCTGTCATTTGAAATAAAAACCGTACCAGAATATGTTTGTTCAGTCTGGTGCTTCTGGTCTAGTGCTATGGTATATATTAAAGGGTCATTACATTTAAATAAAACACAATAATAACTGTAGGAAAGAAAAATCCAAACTAAATGCTACAATATATAACCGTGTTTAATTTATGTTACAGGCGCAATAAAGTGGAAGTCAATAGAATTTCATTTGTGGATAAAATATTTTACATTGGACATTTTGCAGGGACATATTTAAATGTGTTGAGCCGCTCATTTTACTTTTTCAAACAAAGCATATAAAAACTTTAAGGACCATAAATGAGATTCCATTAACCTCCACTGCACAGAGGTACCAGCAGAAACAAACAGAAGCACCAAAACTGTGTTCTCTAACAGAAGGTAGGGAAACATATGTTGTCATAATTTACTTGAACTAACCCCCCTAATATATACACAACATAAACATATTATCCATTCATTTCTACCAGTGTTGAAAACCTTTTTGTGTCACATAGGACATTTGACCAAGCATCCAAATATTTAAAAAAAAAAAAAAAGGTACATAAAATCAGTTTGGGCAACGATAAGCAAAACAAGTGTTGACTCACAGATGGAGAATTGTTAGTAAAGCACAAACGCTCTATACTGGAGAACTGTTTCTCTTATGTATTGCTGTTGAAGCTCATTCCTTAGATGAGGTAACGGCGCAGTGTAAGACAAAATAATTGTTTAAATATAAAGCATTTTTTGCAAAAGTTGGAAAAGCGCAGCGTGACGAGGAGTGGCTTCAAAACATGACTGAATACATCAAAGTTTGCATTTTACCAGGTTTTCTCAAACAAAAAATGCACATGTTTACACCTTTTGAAAAGAAGTTTAATTTAATAACTAGATAGTATTCACTTTTTTAACTGATACATGTAGTCCTGACATACAACACATGGATCATGGCGTTAGCATGTTTTTCAGCACTGGATAGGAGTGCTCCTCCTTCAGTCCCTGACCGACCCACCCACCTCTCCCTCCTCTCCCTCCTCTCCCTCCTCTCCCTCCTCTCCCTCCGAGCTTTAGTCGTCCGTGGTGATGTTGCGGAACAGGTAAGCCATGGACTCTCCGTTGTGGATGCGCCGGATGGCCTCGGCTAATATCATGCTGACGTCCACCGTCTTGATTTTGGGACACTGTAGCTTCTGTACTTCATGGGGGACTGTGTTGGTTACCACCACCTGAGGGGGGGGGGGGGATAATCACAAGAGATTGTGGACTTAAAAGAAAGGTGCCATTTATTTTCATGCTGATAAACATGATCAGGATCACAGATTGAAGGGGCCAGTCAGCTCTGTTATGATTGGTCAACAGTTTAGAGTGTTGGAGCGCTAGCCAATAAGCGCAAGTGTTAAGCAGTGATGTCACTGTGTTATAAAACTAAACAAAAGAGTGCAATGGAGGCGTTTCAGGCAGGGGGGGGGGGATCCTTTGCAGACCATTTACATGCACACAAATCCTTTACAACACACTACAGGAAAGGGTAACCTGCAAAAGCATAATAGCGCCACTTGTACTCATTTGCTTTGGTACACCTGTGAGTTATCAGTGGCTACTGCCGTTCATGGTCTTTAAACACTTCATCTGATCATGCTTAGAAACTGACTGCAGGTGAAATTAAACACCTTTTTATTCCAGTATATTCCTATTAATCAGATTTGACCGTAACACAACAAGTTGACGGTAACTATTGTTTTTTGAAGCCTGTATAGTTAGGAGGAACTGAAAATGTACAGAAATACAAATACAACACAATGCTACTTTCCTTAGAGCTAAAAAAAAAAAATTAGAAGGAAGTATCATCTTTCTTTGTTTTACATTGCGTTCATAAAGAATAAATGAAAACAAAAGATGTTGGTGTTTGCTGGTTTAAAGGAAATTGGCCTTTGGTTACTTCCTTATTTATATTTTACAGGTTTGCCACAACACATTCATAAACAATCAACAATAACTGCTTTTACTGATTTAACTTAACTACGCAATATTGTAAAAAAGCGTTGCCGTGGACTCACCTCATCGATGGCGGATTCCTCGATGAGGCGTGGAGCGTCGGCCGACAGTAAGCCGTGTGTGGCCATGATATAAATCTTATACGCTCCTCTCTCTTTCAGGATCTCTGCAGCTGCAACAAAGTCTCCCACATCGTCTATAATGTCATCCTGGAAGAAGAAGAAATAAACAGCAACGTAAAAATTACACCCCTGCCTCTTTGTCTTTGGTAATGCGCTGTAACAGTGCATAAGTAGCCTAGGGCAGGGGTTCCCAAACTTTGCCATGCCAAGGACCCCATATAGCATTATCGTCTGGCGGGGACCCCCCTGTTGCAATTTGTTTTTTTAAATGATGAGTACATTATGATGGAAAATATGACATTAATCATACAGCTAAATACATTTTCTTATTATTTATTTGTATTAATAATCAGTTATTCTTCTAAAAAAAAAAATTGTATTTATCTTTTGTTTGTCATTCATTACACTCATTGTGTCTTTGTTATAAACATTCTTAACACAATATTAAACAGTAATATCAACAGTAAACATATTTTTAAATTGATTTCTGTCTTTATAATATTATATAATTTTGAACAGTAATATGAACAATTAACATATATTTTTTGCATTTTTGAAAGTGACTTATGCCTTAATAATATTATATATAATATTCAACAGTAATATTAACAATAAACATATTTATATTCATATAACATCTAAACAAAAATAAATAAATTCCCCTTTCGCTCAAACTTTGCGTGACCCCCCAGGCGCCCCCTGGCGGCCCCCCGGGGGGTTGGGGCCCCCACTTTGAAAAACACTGGGGGGTAATAGCAGAACATATAAGAACAAGTACTGCCTTAACATCAAGACGGTGAATTGACTCAATAATGTCCGTTATATATGAATATCAATCATTAGCTACTGATAATGCCACATTAGCAGCAAAACCCTTTTGTTCACTACATTTAGCAAGCGCAGATTTTATTTAGAATATTGCTCCATTGACAAAAGAGAAAAATGTCTTTCAATATATTTTTGATATATCTAATATATCTTTTTACTAGACGGCTTGGTTGAATACTCAGTTCTGATTAGTACATTTCAGAGGTTGTTAATACTCAATAACAGACCGCTACTAAGGAAAGCATGACCGTTGCTAAGGAGGATACGTCATATCAATCCGCAGAAAGAAGTCCGGTCGATTTAACGTCTGCTGTGGTTAACAAACATGGGTTTTTATCTATCAGAAAACACTATGGAATACTTTTTGAAGGAGAACTAAGTGTTATAATAATAATAATAATTATCAAACATGGCAAAGCAGCTGACCGTCAGCTCATCACGGCATCTTACCACAATGATGGCAATCCTCCCTCCCACGTCTCCGACTACAGTGATGGGGGGTTTCTCCTTGGCCATCATTACTGTAGAGGGAAGCAGAGCGTGTTACCTGTGAGAGAACTTCCAAGAGGTTATGAGTGTGCTGTATTTCACCCAATGGAAAATAAATCTCTGTAGATTGGGTAAAATGGGTTGAGAAAATGTTTTGCAATCAAGGCAAATTGTGCACCCCTGGATTATGGGCTTGTTATTGGATGATGTAAATGATTAGTAGAGATTCTGTTGTAATAATGCTGTCACAAATTAAAAGAAGTTTAGAAATGTTCCCCCATTGTACCCCACCTACCCCTACGAGATTAAAGTGAAATGCAAAACTGAATACAGCACATGCCATGCAAAAATCAAAAGGACAGTTTCTTTATTTTCTGCCCAGGATACCCAATCACACCCAGCCTGAGGCCGGGCTGTGGCAGGCTGCATATGAAGCAGCCGACCGTCGTATTTCACACAGGACCACAGTGGCTGACAAGCACTGATGAGGGGTTCTTCAGACACACTTGCCAATGTTCTGGGGTCAGTCCTCAGTCGAACATCACAGCTGCCAGCGACTACTTTTACATGCACACAATAACCTGTTTGTATCTCACATGCCGATCACAGGAGATGCAGCAGCTGTATTTTTTTTACCAATGTCATAAGATAAACTATTTATTGGCAGCTACATTTGATGTTGTAAGAGTAAATGATTTCATGATTCGGCTCAAATATTGATATCTATGCAGCTTTGTTTATCATTGTGAATACTTCCGTGAAAGGTTGCAAATCTATTCATGCAATCCTATCCAGCCCATGCTACAAGCAACAACATGTTTGTTCCTCTGAGGGGCACTTCTCTTATCAAACTCATCTTTGATCCAAGTCAATTACAGTTCCTCAAAGTTTAAGAGGACTTTCTGTCAATCCAAAACCAAAAGATGCAGCTCTACTTTGCCCATGACAAACATCCAAGAGTCAATCAGCTGGAAGTATACAAATTGTCCAAATAAAGGTTAAGTGGAAGCATTATATAACACAACCTGGTAAAGACAACATCAACAGGCTCTACCTTGTGACAGACGTAATAATGTGTGTAACCTACAACTACAATGAGTTGATCTGAATCACTTTATTTGATAACAACGTTTTAAAAGCTGCATTTGAAGTATTGTTGTGCATGTAAATGTAGTAATTCAAAGGGAATAAGGAGAGAATCCACTGGTAAACAATCAGCTAGCCAAGCCGATTGTGGAGGAAAAGGGATATCGAAGCAGAGACAGGAGGAGCATGCCTTGCAGAACGCTGAATACCGTGAGCCGCACAGCTTCAGAAACCTGCCAGTGTCACATTCAGACTTTTATCACTCTTAACAAAAAACAGCAAAAGCCATGTTGTTAGCAGAATACCCACTTCTCTAAAATATGGTTTACAGCTTGCTGAGATACTGAAACAAGTTAACTGAGAAATATCTGGTTAGATATCTTGAAATTATTTTAAATAAAAATCAACATTATCCTGATAGATTTCAATAGCTTTTGAACAGCTAATTTCGACAGCAGGTTAGCATCGCATTCCAGAAATCATACGGATTAAAGTGACTTTATATTATTGTTGAACGAATAAGTTCTGGTATTAGAACTAAAGTAAGGAAATAAAACTTTGATTTGACTTGCTTAAAACGTGTCAACAATTCCATTCATAATGCTTCTTCTTCGCATCATTACATGTTAGGATTCAAAAGCATGCTTTGTTCTTCTCCTCACATGCAATATGACCAAAAGTTAATCAGGTTCTGAAGAGCGGGGCGGGGGGGGGGGGTTTAATCAGGGTGCACCATGTGTTGATTGGCAAGATGAGTCCAGATATTCAAGGGAAAAAAAGGAAAATGATAATGTTTGGCATGGTTCTGGTTTGATTGATGGATTTCGAAATGAAATCAGAACACAACAAACCCAAGAGGAGTTTGGCCATCTTGTAGAACAACTGTCTGGAATTTTAGACAGGTGGAGAAAACGCTCATTTCAAGTCAAACACGCCATGCAAATAGCATACTGTAGCCGATTCAAGAGGTTTTCTCAATGCAAACCTGCCTGTGTGCACGACAAATCACTTTTTGCTACAAACTCCCCCTCCAGAATCCAGACTGTTTTTTCACAAGATGCAACACAAACCCTTTGTCTACACATGCACCAATTGAGGAACCATTTGAAGAGGAATCATTTCATAGTCAGATGGAAGTTATGTTTTACGGTCGTACTTGGGAGCTCTATGCCGGGGAACGGAGCTTGTTGTTTGCCTGCTATTACCAACAAATAAACACCACGTTAACACAAATGCACAAATATTTGACATGACAAACACATGATGCCGAGACTTGGAAAATCCTCCCGCTAGGTAGGCAGAGATTACAAAAATATTTCATAGCAACTAATCAGATTAGATTTTAAAATGCAAGACTTTTTATAGTTTAAGATATTTAGGAAGTTTCAAAGGAGGATTTTTTAAGTCAAGGGTGAACACAAGTAAGAAATATTGTTACTAAATAATAAAGTGAATACTGGACGCAGTTACGTCGGAGTCATTTGCCAATGACACAATCATTTCTCATACGGAATTATTCCAAAAGGCCTTACGGGAATAAACCCCGCAAATATGTCAAAGGCGGTATGCCAGAGTCACGTTATAGTATAAATATTTAAAAAATAGAGCTACTTTCCAAAGAAATAGGCAGGAACTATGATCTATGATTATTAAGCATGTCACTTTTTTTGCAAGTTAGGAGTTGCAGCTGGCGGAGGATGCAGCATGAGTAGAAGTAGTGTTGTATCTGTGGAATTAAAACATGCAGGGACACAGAGAAATCAATTCCTTGGAATGTGGCGGATGGTATGAGTGAGAAACGGCAGACTCGCCCAAACAGGTTAGCACAAATAGCTGGATCGGGCTGTGGGTGTCGTAAACTTGAAGCACTTAAGGATTTAACTGGCAGGAATAAGAAGACGTTCCTTGCTTAATTGCATTTGTGTGACAAATAAAAAGGTAATCTAACTGTGAGAAACAATAAATATGTTATCTGTAGAGAGGGTCAAATCGAGCCGGTGTTTGACCTATTGATCTGCAAAGAAACAGCATTCTATAGAAATGGGTGTTCTTACGAGGAAGCTCCAGTCCTGTGTGTCCGGTGGTGTTGCGTACACAAGGTGGGGAGTGTCTGCCGTCAGCCATGTCGGACTCTGAACACTGAGCCTCGCCGTGAATCACAGCCAGACCCAGACGCAGGCGCTCTGCATAGGACTGCGCCCTAATGAGGATAGAGATAAAACACATATTTAGTCACATGGATTTCAAAAGACATTGGCATTTACACAAAAGAACATTAATTCTGGCAACAACAAACGAGTGGTGCAGGAATGAGACTGAAAACCCAGAAAATGTGTGGTTTTTCTTTTATATGTTTTGGTTATATGCCTGAAATATGATCTGTGGTTACCAACTGGAGAAGGTCTGAAGCTCTCATGTATCATTAAAACAGCAGTTACTAGCAACTGACTACATAAGACAACTAAATCTCAATTAGCCACATTTAGCTTAGCCCGTGATGTAGCTTGTTTTAAGTTAGCTTTTTACATTACATTGCATTTAGCTGACGCTTTTATCCAAAGCGACTTACAATAAGTGCGTTCGACCAACAAAATACAAACTTGAAGAAAACAGAATCATATAAGTACATCAGGCTTCATAGAGCAAAAACATTTCAAGTGCTACTCAACTGGCTTTAGATAAGCCAGCCCTTTATTAGCCCTTTCATGCATGAATTATGAAAGCCTCAGTCAGGATTTTTTTACAAAGTGTTATTATTGCTCTTGGGGCATGAAAAAAAAAATCTAGTTTTTTCAAATAGATGTTTATATGTCCACTCAGGTGGACAGTATGCGTTCAGGGTTTGAACTGAAGAGATGTACATTTTGAAAAAATGATAAATAAAGATGTGCAAACTTAAAATTACATTATAATAACACAAGTATATTGATTTACGGCCCAAAAAGATATTGCAGATGAAGTATTTTCAAGAACAACCAGGGCCAGGGACCAGCTTGAGGCACCACGCACAGTTATTTGATGAGTGCTAGCGGAGCCTCGCAGCGGCGAAACCATGCCGCGCCACCCTAATTGCACCACTTAAGCACATAGGTGCACCTCAGATGAGGCCCCCCTCCGCGAGGTGTGGCCCCCTCCACAAGGTGCGGCCCCACACAGGGTTAGGGAACAACAGCAGCAGTACCAGTATGAATTGTAGTTGAAATATAGCCAGTGATGCATGACGTCCACTGTAGTGGAGAGGTGGTTAATCATGATTCCCTGCAAACATAAAATCAATACTTTGATCATTTATGAATTATATGATTCCTTAGTTGTTACTTGATGTCACCACATGTTTTATACCTGCAGGGGACGCTTTCCATTAAAGGATTGGCAGGATATAGATGGGTGACTTGGTCCATGTGGCTTTCTGTCGTCCATCTTGGTTTAGAGACATGTATCATGCACTTACACTGACTTGGCACTGAGTGGCAGTGTATGGGATGATGCAATAGGGTCCTATGTAGTGGCTGCTGGTGCAACTATGCAAAAACAAACAATGCATATACAAGAAAACACCTTTTGAATAGCTGTCCACTGTAGTGACCTCTATGCATGAAAGGGCTTTAGTATATAAGTGCTTTGTTAGCAGTTCTATTGCTTGCATTTACACTTTCACTATTATAAAGAGAGTGTTAATATTTGAAGAATAACCTGCTGAACAAATGGTGCATGTATAATAAATGTGTGTTTGCCACTGATCTTATTTTCAGCAATATTCTAAAATCCAATAGAAAAATGTAATCGCCCTTTGTTGAGGGAGCCCTTGCAATGCTAACTTCTGGGTGGGTCGTCAACAATAAATCTCTTTAGTGTTTTAAATGAAGACAGTTGAAACGTGATTCATCAAAACAATGCTAACAGAAGGCGAGAAGTAGCGGAGGTTAAATGTGTTTATTGTTATCCTTCAGTTACCTCTTTGCTGCTGATGGGGACTTGGCCACAATGATGGCATTCCTGTAATCAGGAATCTGACAGAATGAAGGAAAATGGAAGTCAATATTTACATCATGTGATTGATTGGTTTGGTCAACAGGTGGGGTTAACAACACACACAGATAAGACAATGATTGATCACCTCTTCTTGGATGTACTGAATCAAGAAAGGAGAGGCACGCAGGTTGTCTACTGGGAAGCTGAAGAAGCCCTGGATCTCCTTCTGATGCAAGTCCATGGTGATAATATGTGTTATCCCTTTGGGGTCAAATACACATTAATAGCCGGGTCTCCCCCCCCCCCCATTTAACACACAGTCAACTGTTAATTAGTGAACATCAAATGAAACACTACTGATGGAGAGGGATAAAAAGACAGGCACACAAATCACAGGTTTTGATGAATTGTGTTCTCTTTACCTGCTTTTGCTAGCATTGAAGCTAACAACTTGCTAACTATTGAGCCCCTCTTCCTCATCTTGCACTGTTTGCTGTAGGGGAAGTAAGGAATGACTCCAATGATGTTCTTTGCACAAGAGGTCTTGAGGGCGTAGGCCATTACCAGCAGCTCCATAATAGCCGTGTTTACATCTCTGTTTGCATGAAAACATCATAAAAAAGACACGTTTAGTGATAACCAAATAAACTGTTCAAAGCTGTAGTTTGTGCAGATGTTAAACTCACCGCGGTATGGTCTGGATGATGAAGATAGTTTGTCCACGAACTGATTCTTTCACATCCACTCTAGTTTCTGTTGTGGTAGGGAAATTAGGGACACAATCATTTGATTAGGCAAAGCTGCATCTTAATTTCAGTGCTGTCTAATACTGATGACTTTTTGCACTTTGTCAGTAACTGTTCACCTTCAAAAACATGCAGTGCAACCCACAGGACAGCTATGCAAGAGCCATAGAAGCAGAGTCGTAGAAGTGTAAATAATGGGGGAAATGTAGCAAATGTATCAGTCACTGATGAGAGGTATTTGCACTGGACATGTACTTTTTGTAGAATTATGCATGTAGTCATACCTGGTTATGGTAACCAGTAAAGTGAGGTAGTCTAAGAATTGAGTGCAGTTGTTTGTGTAGAAGGAGGGTGGGGGTCAAGCATGGTGGCAGCTAGGTGTTAAGTTTTCAGCAATCTACAAAATATGGTATAGCAACCGTACTGATTGTTTTTAAATCTCACTCAACATGTTTATTTTCCCAGCCACTTTAAAAGGGACCACACTTGACCTCGTGCTGACCAAGTTGTGGAACTCCTGTCTAAGACCCCAGGCAGATTAAATCAATAACCTGTTTAAAATGTCTTCTAAACTCACTTGTAATTATGTTTTCTATCCTTTACTAATAGGGTACTATTAAAAAAAGTTCTATAGAATAGAAATCTATAATTACCAAACATTTTTGTTGTTAGCAGGAATGTGTTTTTAATATTCTCCTCACCTCTGTTAGATTCCTGAAAGACCACAGACTTCCCCAGTTCAACTCCCAGCCTCCTGTGACATAGATAGATAGATAGATAGATAGATAGATAGATAGATAGATAGATAGATAGTTACAGCAGCAATTGAAATCTTTAAAAAGGTGTAAAAACGTAAAACATAATAAAATACAAATAAATAAACAGCAGCAAGTAAATATACATATCTACAGTAGAAAGGACATGAACCACAGAGACAACTCAATATAACATTTTCTAGATACAAATACACAATCGTGAGGTGCTCATTGTTTCCTTCATTGTTTTATGACTAGACAGGCTCTCGTTTGGAACAGATTTGTATACAACATTTTGAGTAGTCAGCAACGCTGGAATAAAATGAAAATATGCTTACTCCGTTATCTTCTTTGCCAATTCTGTGCATGCTACGGAGGAGTTTGCGGAAAATACACGATAACCACTTTTAGCGACGTTCATCGTAGCGGGTGGTTTATTTCTCACTGACAGCAGAGGCTCCTTTTTGTCTCGGCGTCTGTTTTCTGGTTCTCTTCTAATGACGTTGTCGTTAGCTAAACAGCTAGCTAGCTACCTACCATACACTGTACCGCTAGGTTAGCAAATCACACGAAATGACCTCCAGTGTGCGACATAAACTCAGCTACAGCTAAACTTAAAATTAACCATTAAATACTGAGTTTATTTTACTTATTTGTCCAATTGCTTGTGGAAAAACGACACATAACTGTCATAATGTAGCACTATAGCCTTACAACTGTGTTAGCACTGAACTACGGAATCCCCTTTGGGTCAGTCTTGCCAAATACGCTTTGCGGAATATATATTTGTTTGAGGATGGTACTGCGTCACATTAGCAGTGGGAGATAGTAGCAAAGCACTTTTACTCAAGTACTGTACTGATGTACTTGTACTTAACCTGCGTATTCATTTAAATCCATTATTAAATACACTTTGACATATATTCATAAGTTAAGATATCCAAAAGCAGTATATCAAATTAGTCAAATTATCTCTGCATTTACCATTTGTGATAACAACCATTTATCCAACTCTATTTTAGAGTAGACCTCAAATAAATTGCTTAATATATGTTGTTCTTACTCCGAACTACATACTTCACACAGGTGTGCCAGTGTGACTGAAATACATCGGAGTGAGATAATCCCTAAATAATGTAATACTCAAACCGTGCATTTACTCAAGAAATATTGTTTATACGTTATTATTTTATAATGTGTGCACACATTAATGATTAGACTGATCTGATGAACTGATAAAGTGATCATCTAAGATTCATGGATTGATGACGTTTTAATAGTTTGGTTAAAACTACAGGCAGACAGTCATAACAAGCCCCTGTTATTTATTTGATTCTTGCCTTCAGTTGTTGATAGATAGATAACTATTTGCCTTTCTATAAATCATTTACTCATTGTAAATATGGCATTTCTGGCAGCCCATCAGTAATACTCTAACTGTCCACCAGATGTCATTACTCATTAGCCCTGGATACCAAGTACAGTTATGTCTTATAGTCTAATCCTTTTTGAGGAGGGTGTGTTGACAGTTTAGAATTATCCTTATGTTACTTGCCTGAACTAGCCCTGTGCGTGCAAACAGGGGTAATTGTTGTTGTTGTTGTGACACAATACGAAATCTTCTGCAGAAAGATAAAGTGATACGTGCAGAATGTGTCGATCCAGAATCATTGACCAACTCACTTTGTTTGTTTATCCAAAATGACCTGTGCAGTTAGACATTTCTTACAGGAATTATGACATTTTAATGGGAGTGCCTGAGATTAACTTGTGTTCAACTTTAACTTCCCATGGTTTCATTAATTACAATGTGGTTAGCTGGCATATCTTTAATTCTGCTGGTGGGCAAGATGGTATATGCTCACAAAGGTAATTAAGATATTCGACACTCTGCAATACCGGAAATATTAGATGACTCCACCTAAAGCACAATCAAGTTATTTCAGTAACTTGATTGTGATTGGTGTGCTCTTGAGGACTCTGTAAATGTTTGATATTGGTCAGTACGTTGTTGGCACCTACCGTACATTGTACCTCCCCAGTCAGGCAATAAATATCACCTCAATCTTGGCTTTTGTAAAAACATCTGATGTCTTTTAACTGCTCTCGTGTTAGTTTTCCTCAGTGTACTCACAGATTCCTGGTAAATGACCCTGTGAGCTGGGCCCACCCTGAAAATTGAATAAAAACATTCTCAAGTTTTGAACACAACCAATATCTCCCTGACTGATATCCACAGCTGCAACAAAGAGAAAAGACATGGAAAAGTTCAATGAGAGCTGTGTGGCTCTCCTGAGGGTGTGTGAATATAATTGAAAGTGTAAAAATTGAGTGATAACACGCTCATATAATCTGTATCTTGTCAGAAGCACAGGAGTCGACCAAATGAAATATAAATCTGCCCTATTTCTGATAGACGTCATGCTTTTTAATTTTGGGTTTCTACATTCAGGGCTTTGCGAGAAATCACAGGTTAATCTCCTGGATGGTGATGATGGAGGTAAAAGGTCAGAGTGTGATCCGTTATCTTTGTTTTACAACGTCATAATCTTTCATTGAATCTACGCATGTAATACATATCTGACTCTTTTATTTGATTAAGGGGCGTTGGTGAACTCCAGTTCGAATCCCGCCTCGGCCGCCACTGCGTCAGGCCGTTGTGTCCTTGGGCAAGACACTTTACCCACATTTGCTCCTGTGGGTAATGTCCGCAGTAATGACTCTTACATGTCTAATATGTGTAATGTGTACTTGTAAAGCGCTTTGAGCACCTGTAAAAGCGCTCTAATAAAAAATGTAATGCATTATTATTATTATTAAGGATTTGTTCTTTATCTCATTATGTTCTCATCAAACACCACCTACAAAGGTGAGGTGGGCAGAGTGAGACATAAAGAGGGAGAGAGGAAAGGGAGAGTATAAAAGAGAGAGTACAGAGGCTCCTCCTCGTTCGCTGCGTGTGTTTCTTGTGTGTTTTTCAGGCTGTTCTTCACTCACACTCTCGCTCAGCAGAGATTCAGAGGTGGAGAGCAAAGCATCTCACTGAGAAGAAAAAAACAGGGGGGAAGGGAAACAGATTTCCATCCTCTCTCACCAGGAAAGAGACATATACAAGAGAAAAGGTAGAAATAGTGTTTATTTTGAAGGAGGTTGGGTTCTCTCATTAGCCCTGCCTTCTGCACGTGCTCAGCTCTGCACTTCTGTGTTCCCAGATGGAGAGGATGCAGGGAGAGGCAGAGGGGGACCACCTGGAGAGACCAAGCCCACTGACTGACAAGGAGAAGGTGATGATCCAGGACTCCTGGGCAAAAGTCTACGAGAACTGCGATGACACCGGGGTGGCCATACTCGTCAGGTATTTCTTTAGTCTTACTCTCATGTTTTGAAATGTTGAGTTAGGAAGATATTTAAGATAAGATTGACTTTATTGATTCCATTTTGGGTTTTTTCTGTTTAAACACGGCATTGCACATAATGTGAATATAAAAAAGTAGAACATAAACATAACATATAAACATCTCAAAATTGAAAAACAACATAATTAAGAAGTATACATGTTAACTGTCAAATCTGCCAAATAAACAGTGTGAAGGGCCAAATTACAGCAAAAATATAAAAGTAGGATATTATTTACATTAAGTGTGCAAGGAATAACATATTACATTAAATATATATTTGTTTCTCTAATTCTGACAATAATAGAAGTCTTAAATGCTGACTTTTCATTAATCTTCTCCCAATTTCCTCAACTTTAATTAGTCCACCAGCAATAAGGTAAAAATTGCATTCGGTCTCTTCCCCCCTCGGTAATATAACTGCACCTGCGAGGCTCACTGATAATTTTCTGCCACAGAAAACTGCAAAAATATCCACCTAAATCAATTTAAATCCAGGGATTATCCTCCCTCCGAATTCAGCTGCCAAATTCTGATCTCGTTGACTTTACAAGTTTCCAGGCTGTAAAAAAAAAGGAACAATTTTTGCATCTGATATTCTTTCCTCTACTCCTTTTTCTTAATCCTATTCCTCAAATAGTAGAGGCAGTGGATACACATTGCAATCCATCAGTCAGACATCTTTGGCTCCCTCCCAATGAGCGGGTCATGTTTTGAATGCCTGTTCAGAGGGCCGGGGAACCTGCAGCAGCTTGACTCCGGGAAACATATTGTGGGCACATTGACTTTATTTGACAAGTGTGACGATCTGGCAAGTCACACCGTTCCCTTTATAAATCCTATGATTGCAGCAGGTGAAAGTTGAGAGAGAGGTTAGCAGCCAGGCAGGGTGCAACACGATTATTTTTACAGCTTACTGACTTTTAGGATTTAGCTGCAGCACTTAAACACATCAAATCACTATCCCACTCTTTGATACGCATATCGAAACTATAAATTCATTGAATGTACTTTTCTTCTGCCACATTCCTCCACAAACACCCTATGACCTTTCAGGAATTTGAGGAATGACAATCGTTTGATAAGCGTGACTGTGGTAAATTCTCCTTTTAGTGGTAAAAAAGTAAATCACTGTCGCTCTCCGTAACCTAGACATGAACTTTAACCTTTTCAAACTCAAAAGCAGTTTATGACTGAAATTAAACATTTTCTCTAGATTTAGCTCTTCAGTTAGTCTCGACGAAAAGATAAGAAAGGATAAAGAGTCCATAAAAATACTAATGAGGCTATTTATATGCAACCACAGGTCATGCAATTACAAGAGAGAGAGATTAAACACCACGGCTCCTCATTAGTTTGCTACGAAACTAAGAACACTTTGCTTAGCTTCTATCTCTTCCCATTTCAGGCGTTTTAACTCTAATATCGAGCCGTATGCTTCACAGAAAAATATTTCCCTCCTTTTTGCGATAGTTGTTGCAGAGACAGTGGGAGATGGGACACCAGGTCTAGAAAGCAGCAACCAGATGCATTGGCGCTCTTCCCAGACAGTGGATGGAGGGAGTTTTTAGTTATACCTTTGAGGTTCAATCATGCACATAAACCAACGAAAACGTCTTTGAACTCACTATTTGTACTCAGAAAAAGCAGGCTGTAAGAATGTTAAAATCCAGACTTGGAACTTGAACAGAAAGCATTTGACATATAAGCCAAATGAAACATGAAGCGTTGGCTGTCAGGGGAGCTCATCGTAACCTGAGCACTTATTTTCTTCACCCCCCCCTCTCTAACAAGACATCACAAATCATGTTCACCTTCCCTTTAATTTGCCATGATTGGAGCCACTTTACAGAACAATTCAGACACATTTGCCAACAGTTTCACAAGGGGGCACAGCAGGAAATGATGATTGTCTAAATCCAGAGGCCAGATTTCTGGAGCAAGACCTGTTTTTAGCCATGCGTTTTCAACTGCGCACGAGATAACATAACACCAAATAGATATTAGCATTGATAACGGGATACCGATTTGGTTTAGAATCTTGTAAATCCTAATTCACACAGCCGTTTACACTGTGTTCACATTGAAGAATAAATGATATAAATCCATGAGATAACATTGAAAAAGGTAAATCTGAAACTGTTATGAAACAACCTGTTACGCACATGTTATCTGACACATAAAAGTGACCATATTTAATGCACATTTTAATATAATCACCTGTATTTTTTTTAAGTAAAATATTTTATTAATGTAAGTACTGTAGTAACATTATGGTAGAATACAATGTCCTGACAAACAAATTAAACTGTTTTACTGTAATTTTGAAAGCTATACAAAACGTCTGTCATAAGCA